GATTTATTATTTTTCATTTAGTTGTTTTATTTATTTATTTCTAGTGTCGTACCAAACGCTTTTAGACATGCTGTGGTGCAACCATTGCTGAAAAAAACCTGGCCTTGATTCTTCTATGTTGTCTAACTTTAGGCCTTTTTCCAAGTTACCTTTTTATAGCCAAGATTTTAGAAAATGTCTATAACCAGTTGAATATTTTTCTGGATGAATCCAAAATCATGGAAGTCTTCCAGTCCAGCTTTAAAATGTATCATAGCACTGAATCTGCTCTTTTAAGGGTTTTAATGACATATTTTTAGCTTTGGATTCTGGAAACTGTGTTTTACTTGTACTGCTAGATTTAACAGCTGCTTTTGAAACTATCGACCATGATATACTTATTTCCAGATTGGAGAAGTGGGTGGGGATTTCTGGCTCAGCTCTTCAATGGTTGAGGTCCTATCTGTCTGATAGAAGCTTCAGTGTGATGATAGACGATTTCACTTCTGCCTCTGCCATCCTTCCCTGGGGAGTACCCCAGGGTTCTATTCTTGGCCCAATATTATTTTCGCTTCATCTTCTTCCCTTGGGTTCCATTTTTAGAAAGCATGGTGTACAATTTCATTTATATGCAGATGACTGTCAAGTCTATTTTCCGCTCAAACATAATGGCTCCACCCAGTCCCTCCTTGACTGTCTTGATGACATCAGGAGTTGGACGGCTCTGAATTTTCTACATTTCAATGATAAAAAGACAGAGTTTATGATTCTTAAGCCTGGTGGTCCTAGCTGTGTTTCCACCTTTGACCATTCCTTCTTGGCCCTTTTGAAAATCTTAATGTAACAAAGTTGGGGGTGAAAATGGACCCTAACCTGAAACTTGACAGTCAGGTCAACTCTGTGGTTAGGTCTTCCTTTTTTCAGTTGAGACGTTTGTCAAAAATCAAACCTTTTCTGTCTAGGCAACATTTAGAGACAGTGATGCTTTTATCACCTCACATCTGGATTACTGTAACTCTCTTTTGATTGGATTTAGCCAGGCTTCTCTCTCATGCAAAATGCTGCTGCACGATTTTTAACTGGCGTAGGTAAACAAGAGCATATAACTCCAGTTTTGGCTTCACTTCATTGGCTACCTGTTCGGTTTCGAATCCATTTTGAAGTTCTTTTGTTTGTTTTTAAGTCTCTTAATGGTCTTAGCCCATCTTATTTGTCTGAAATGCTTTACCCTTATATACCATCACGTGTTCTTAGATCATCTGAGCAGAACCTTTTAGTAATTCCAAATACCCTGTACAAATCCAGAGGAGACAGAGCCTTTGCAGCTCTGGCCCTTAAATTATGGAACGACCTGCCGCTGGGGGTCAGACAGGCCCCAACTCTTTCTGTTTTTAAAACTCGTTTAAAAACACACTTCTTTTCTTTGGCTTTTAACCCAGAGTGATTTTGCATCTGTGTCTTAATTTTGTACAATTATTTTTTCGGTATATGTGATTTTTGTATTGTCTTTTTATTTTTTGATGTTTTATTTTATACATTTGTACATTTGTCAGCTGCGATGTTGTTTTTTAAGTGATTTAGAAATAAAGTGGTATGGTAT